ACTGGTACAGGGTTGGCACAATCTTGCCATTGAGGAAATGCTTCCAGCTCAGTAGTGGTGCTATTAGGACAGTAGGGAAGTGGGGGATGCTTATCAGACAGCCATCTGGTGGTCTTAGGAAACCCTAGTTTAGTAACTGTCTGAATATATTTTCCCACATCCCAGGGGCCCGAGACGTTAGCAACGTCTGTACCTCCCTCCGTAGGACGTCTTATTTTCTTGGCCAAGCTGCAAACATTCTGAAGTCCCCTTTTTCCGTAAACAAATAGGGAGCTCCCCACTAAAGCCATTATAAGTATAATCACCTTGGGAAGAAGGAGTTATGGCCTTGTCGGAGTACCCCCGACCATATTGGTGTTGTTAGTAAACACTGGGAGTGATTCCCCGGTCCAGGTGGCTGGATTGACCACAGCGGGGTCTGGAACATATGTCCAGTAAGTTTCTGCTGCAGCCATACTTACCTGGCAGCTGACAAGTGCCATCATAGCAACAAAAAGGGTGGAGGGGGTTACCTGAACCCCCTGTTCTTTCACCACCTGCCGAGCATTGATGGTCAGCTTCTTCAGTTGACCCCATGTGGGGACACTAGCTTCTCGGGTGGCCTTGGTCACCTGCCTTCTGCTCTCCTCCTTCTTCAGGGCCAGTGGCTGAGCTGGCACCATCACGGGAGGTGTGACCTTCAGCTTCTTGAACGGTGGGATGAGCTCTTCTCCCAGGTCCATGGTCATGACGCACCACTTGCTCTGGCACCCAGATGGGGTTAGAAGCACCTTCTGGGAAGATACAAATGTGGCCCCTTCCCCACATCATTACAGATCTGGCCCTCTCCACTGCCCTGTTTGTAAATCCTTCCATCGTGCCATACCAGCAGATGCCATGGCACCAGGAGCTTGATGCCTCTCTGCTGCTGTGCGACCCTCATTGTCACAATTTTAAAAATTTAAAGTGTTGCCCTAACTGGTTTGGCTCAGTGGATAGAGCGTCAGCCTGCGTACTCAAGGGTCCCAGGTTCTATTCTGGTCAAGGGCATGTACCTTGGACTGAGGGACATTGTTATAGCTATGTATTAGCTGTCCTGGAAGGTGGTCAGTTACCATTCTTGTTGTGTTTAAGTTGTTAAAACTGAAATGTTTTCTTTCCCTTCCACCGGACCATTTGTTATAGTTTGTCTCTGCCAGGTCACAAGCCCAGCTCCTGCTGTGCCCAGGACAGCAGGGAGCCTGAGTGGAAGATGACCTCTAACCAGACACACCCACTGCAGATCACCCTCGGGAGGACAGCGGACCTTGCCGGACCCCTTGTAATCCTCCTAATGCTGTTGACTTTCGGCCCTTGCATTATTAACAGACTAGTCCAATTTGTCAAGAAGCGTATAGGAGTGGTTCAGTTGATAGTTCTGCGCGCCCAGTACAGGCCTCTAGCAACAGTGAAATAGAAATGCAGTCCGTCTCATGATTGAGCCGGAAGTCTCAAGACAAGGGGGGAATGAAAGGGCGAGGGCTACACCCTCCATCTTGCCCTGGATCCTCCATTTTTGGGCAGCAGCCTTAGCCATGTGCTTGGCAAGGAGCTTCTTCCAGGAAGCCCAAGCCTCTGCTAGCCACACCTAGGATTTCTTTAAACTAACCAATGATAATCAAGGGAAGTGCATGCCATAGATACGACCACATCCTGTGTAACAAGAGACCGACTTGCGCCTGGCCAATTGGCAGGCCCCACAGTCCTCTCTCCTCCCCTTACTCCAAACCCCCTATAAAACCCCTCTCCCCACAGAGCTCACGCTCTCTCTGTCCCAGCCGCTGTGTCGGCGAGTGTGGGGGGAGCTCGAGCTAGCCCAAATACTCTATCTGCTTTTGCATCGGACTCGGCTGAGTCCCGGTGGTCTTTTGGGGATCCTGAAATCTGGGCTTAACAGCCATCAGGTGGCCTTAGGAAACCCCAGTTTAGTAACTCTCTGAATATATTTTCCCACATCCCAGGGGCCTGTAATGTGAGCAATGTCTGAGCCTACACAGGACGTCTTTTTTTCTTGGCCAAGCTGCAAACATCCTGAAGTCCCCTTTTTAGATAAACCAATAGGGAGCTCCCGACTAAAGCCATTATAATTACCATGGGAAGAAGGAGTTATGTGCTTGTCGGAGCTACCCCCGACCATATTGGTGTTGTTAGTAGACACTGGTACTGATTCCCTGGTCCAGGTGGCTGGACTGACCACAGGGGGGTCTGAAACATGTCCAGTAAGTTTCTGCTGCAGCCATACTTACCTGGCAGCTGACAAGGGCCATCATAGCAACAAAAAGGGTGGAGGGGGTTACCTGAACCCCCTGTTCTTTCACCACTTGCCGAGCATCGATGGTCAGCTTCTTCAGTTGACCCCATGTGGGGACACTAGCTTCTCAGGTGGCCTTGGTCACCTGCCTTCTGATCTCCTCCTTCATCGGGGTCAGTGGCTGAGCTGGCATCATCACCACAGGCGTGATCTTTAGCTTCTTGAACGTCGGGATGAGCTGTTCTCCCAGGTCCATGGCCGTAACGCACCGCTCGCTTTGGCACCCAGATGGGGTTAGAAGTGCTTCTGGGAAGACACTAACATGGTCTCTTCCCCACATCATTACTGTATCTGGCCCTCTTCACTGCCCTGTTTGTAAATCCTTCCATCATGCCATACCAGCAGATGCCATGGCACCAGGAGCTTGATGCCTCTCTGCTGCTGTGCGACCCTCATTGTCACAATTTTAAAAATTTAAAGTGTTGCCCTAACTGGTTTGGCTCAGTGGATAGAGCGTCAGCCTGCGTACTCAAGGGTCCCAGGTTCTATTCTGGTCAAGGGCATGTACCTTGGTTGCGGGCACATCCCCAGTAGGGGGTGTGCAAGAGGCAGCTGATCGATGTTTCTCTCTCATCGATGTTTCTAACTCTCTATCCCTCTCCCTTCCTCTCTGTAAAAAAAATCAATAAAATATATTTAAAATAAAAAAATAAAAAATTTGAAGTGTCAAGAGCATGATTTAACTTATTCTGTGGAGTAGGATAATACCCATCTCCCCCTTTTTGTTTTTGTAACTGAGTCTTTAAGGTTTGATTGGCTCTTTCTACAATTGCCTGTCCCTGAGGATTATAGGGAATTCCTGTCTCATGTATTATTTGGTATTGCTTGCAAAACTGCTGAACGGAGGAGCTGGTATAGGCAGGTCCATTAATCTGTTTATATTTGTAGGGGCCATCCCATGACTGGAAAAGCGCTAGGCAGTGGTTAATTACATGCTTTGCATTTTCCTTTACGAGAGAGAAAACAAACATTTAAGGTATTTCAGAGCCTATTTGGATGATCTAAAGTCAATTTTAGATCGAGAAAGTTTCTTAAAATTCAAACCGTTGAAGGATTGTCAAACTTGATTTTACCAAAAGATTATATATTAAAATGTATTAGACAGGAACATAGGCTAGTAAACTTCAATTCCCATGATTAAATGATGATCTTTTTTATTTATTAAATACCTGATTAATATAATTATTTTACTAGAGAAGAATTAACCAAAATAAGGCTTATTTTCTAACTTCATTTGTCCTTGGGTGTGGACAGTAAATGACACTAATTGGATTTCTGCTATAAATCTTCCTCTGTACTTTAACATAAGCTATTTGCCCTCTATTTAGGGAGGCAAAATGCAAAAACCTTACTTTTTCAATGATCACCAAAAAGTAAACAGTCAAATTTTCTTAGATTGACATTTATGAACACATTTTAAATGTACTCTTACTTTCAAGAAAATGTAACTTCAACAAAGTACAAGAGACCTTTTGTAATAAAAGCTAAGAGCAGGTAAATTAAAAATTGTCTAGCAATCAATGTTTCAGCATTTTATGTTATTTAAAAATATTTAGATGTTTATTATTTAACCCAGCAATGCTCCAAAGTCTTTAAGTTATCCAAGACTTTGGAAAATTACATATAGGTATATGAGGCTGGAGAAAAGGCAGGGGGAGGAGGGAGCAGATATCACAGCCCAGTCCCATGCCTGTACCCGCTTGGATTTAAAACTGCCAGACTTTCCTTAGAGGTAACATGCTAAGGTTACTGCTGTGGCTCCAACTTCTTTCACAGCCTAGAAAAGCTGGTTTCTGGTGGCGCAGTGGCCAAAGGGCTGGTTAGAGCCTGCAGAGGAGGCTGAGATTGTAAATCTCTATCTTGGCTGATCCCTTAGGTTCTCCTCTCCACCTATCCCCTCCCATTGTTGCATAAGGAGGGGAAGGCAGGACAAGGGATTTTATTTTTTTGTTTTTGTCTGCCCTTGTTCCTTTTCTTTTTTAAAATATATTTTTATTGATTTTTTTTTTTTTTTACAGAGAGGGAGAGGGATAGAGAGTTAGAATCATTGATGAGATGATCAGCTGCCTCCTGCACACTCCCTACTGGGGATGTGCCTGCAACCAAGGTACCTGCCCTTGGCCGGAATCGAACCTGCGACCCTTGAGTCCACAAACCGAAGCTCTATCCACTGAGCCAAACTGGATAGAGCTGCCTTTGGTCCTTTTTAGGCCTTCCTATGTTTACAGGGAGAAGGGCAACTAGCCTGTTCCTCTAACAGAGAGCACAGTCATTCTCCTCTTGACTTTCATTATTAACATATTTATAATTATTACTGAAATGGTTTTATCCAAATTCTTCATTTTAGTTACACCTATTATGTCTTAACAATTTTGAGATTTTAAAGCCAATTATTACCTAAAGCATTTTCTTGACCAATTACCATGATTGCCCTGTCTGTTCAAGGAAAGGACACACTATCTGGCTGGGAGTCATATGCCCCTGGGCAAGAACTGCCCATTCTCATGGAGGCATTAATCTTATTGTCCAACTGTGCTGGGCTGCATATCTGGCATTTCGGCCAGACGGGGCACGCTGTGCTGTCTGTTCCTAAAACACATAGATAGGAAGGTACTGACATCAGGCCAGGCCTTGAGATATGGTCTCATAGCCCCTTCCCAGCATGCAGGCCTTCTTTCTCAGAAGGTCCGGAAGTCTCATTCCAAATTTGGGAGACAAAGGCCTGGAAAAAGTATAAATAAAGAGAGTTTCCTCCATATTGGGGGCCCAGAATTTGAAAGACACATTTTTCTCTGGGCCTCCACAGAATTTAATAATAAAATGTAACTCCTGTAGTCATCGCTGCAGTTCAGCCTCTGCTTCGGCAGGGTGCTGTAACTGTAGTCAGCTGGCCAGCTTAATAAAGGCTCTTAAATTTAAATTCTGAGTCGGTGGTCTATCTCGCTGAGTGAACCCATAACACAACCTAGCCTGCATAGCTTACTTCCTTATGTAATTTCAAGTATATTGTATTGGTCTAATTTAGTTCAAAAATATTTCCTTTAGAAAGAGAGTAGATTTTTGTCACCTCAGGGCACAAATCTGTCTCTCAGTTAAATTCTTGAAATATTACATTCAGAAAAGCTGTCAAATATAACTAATTTAAAGATTATTAAAACTTAACTGGTTTTAGCATTAAAGATTTAGTCCGGACCACAGAATTAATCCTTTCTAATTTGGCTAATAAATTGTTACATTTTAATAATTCCACAGTACACTTTGAATTGTAGAGAAAACGCTGGGAGGACACACCTACCACCTCCATTCCAATCCAGGGATGGCCTGTGTGGGTTTATACATCACGGGCAGGCTTGGAATTAGCTGGCCTTTGTTTAAACTTCCCTGGGTTGCAATCTTAATAAATTTTACACTTTCAAATTAATCTTAGAATTTTAAAATTTTAACGCAGCACAGCAAAATCATAAATCAGAGAAAAGCAAATTACAGTTATAATAAAGACTGAAATCCCACCAGCCAAGAGTTTCTGGTGGCCTGGGAGGGAGAGAAAGAAGAATTCTTGGCAGCTGCTGGAAAATTCCTTCAATACCTTCTATGAGGTTCAGCCCACTAGAAGTAGCTTGAACCTCTAGCAAAGTGAAAACTGAAGTCTTTCACTTTTGGCCGAATGCCTGCATCCAGCCATAAAGGCTGGGCGACTGCGAGTAAAACCTTTCTCATCATCTGAGTTGTCCAGATCACAGTGATGATTGTCCCACTCGCCTCAAACTCTAGCTCCTGCTCATATTTAGGAGGTAAATCTTTATCAGGCGGGCTTTTGACTGAGGTTGCAGGAGCTGCAGGCAGAGGAGGAGGCGGTGGCACAGAGGGGAGAAGTGGTGTTTTTAAAGATTCCCACCACTCCACTGTAGGCTGCAAAGCCGTGGCCACACCCTGCTTAGACATTCTTTAACTCTCCTGTGCTGGATCAAGGCAATCACAAATTAGAGACCATAATGTGAATGTGGGAATAGGAATCTTCTCTGGACCTTCTGCTGTGTATCAGTCATGCGACTGCTTTCCAATCCTTCCCCAGGTTTGAAAGTTGATAGTTCCCTCTTCAGGAAACCAAGGGCAAGTTTCATTAGCAAAACTTAAGAAATCAAGAATTTGACTACACTTAATAGAGCATCATCAAGCTCTGAGCATAGTTTTAAGCATCTGAGAGTAGAGATCTCTTTCCTGAGACCCTGAATTTCTCATGTTATACACCCAGCTAATACGGTAATCCACTCCTTACCTTACTTCTTGAATTTGTTGCACTGTGCACTTCTTGGAGCTGTCCCTAGCCTGACTTTAAAATATATATATATATTTCTTTATTGATTTTAGAGAGGAAGGGAGGATAGAAACATCAATGATGAGAGAGAATCACTGATCAGCTGCCTCCTATACACCCCCCACTGGGGATCGAGCCCGTAACCCAGGCATGTAACCTTGGCCTGAATCGAACATGGGACCGTTCAGTCTGCAGACTGATGTTCTATTCACTGAGCCAAAATGGCTAGGACCCTTGCCTGACTTTTGAGAGTTTCCCTGTCCTTGGGTCCCAGTTCTGGGAACCAGATATAAGTTTCCTATCTTGACCTTGACCAGCATGGCTTGAGATCAGACTAGTCCTGAGTAGGGGCAGCTGGGGAATGAGAACAGAAAAAAAAAAGAGTCAGACTGAAAGACTTTCAGTAAAGCTGGGGCCAGGTGGGATGCTGCCCTTGGACAGAGAGACAGTGAACCAGAGCTAGAGCATCGCATTTATTATATAGAGCATGATACCAGGGAATTTTACTAGTTTAAGACAAAGGAAATTATGTGAAATAATGGTTAAAGGTCAAGCTGCAATTCTTCACTCTTGTGGCTTCTTTGTAATTGTCACTCCTGGCTGAGCCCAGATAACTGGGTCAGTTCCAGGCACCTGGCTGAACTTAGATAATGAACCATATCCCCTGGCACCTGAGCTAAAAGGTCAAGCTGACAACATACCTGCCTCAGGCAAGGTATGTTTCCAGGATGTGGCTCTGCCCACACCACTGGACTCAGCCGACAATCAGCTCATGTGCCTTCCAAGACACTCTCTACACATAACCATTAGGATTTTCTAGATGTTATTGTGGATTACAAACAGGCCCAAAGATTTATTGGCTTATATTAAACAAGAGGCCCGTTGCAGGAAGATTCCTGCAAGAATAGGGCTTCCCTCCTGGCTCCGCTGC